TGTACTTTGAGGGTTTTGACTCTGCACACCATTTACATGCATAAAAACCTTCATAACAACAAGGGGACGGGTAATAACCGGAAAAGCATGACATGTCACCTTTAACAAACTCATGATAACCTCATATGTTTTTAACTTAGGATCATACCTGTGTTTAGTCTAGAAAAAGGTAAATGTGTGCATTTTATTATAAAGCTCATTGAGCTGCGAGTGTCACTCCACGGAGTTCTCTGTCACGGAGGGGGAGTGTGTAGGGGTAGGGTGTAGGGCGTGGTTTCATTCATACAGGCTCTGATTATCACAGAAGGAGATCTTTATTTTGATTTACTACATCCTTTTCCCAGGAACCCCCACTCAACAGGTCTGTGTGGCTGTGTGTGTGTGTGTGTGTGTGTGTGTGTGTGTGTGTGTGTGTGTGTGTGTGTGTGTGTGTGTGTGTGTGTGTGTGTGTGTGTGTGTGTGTGTGTGTGTGTGTGGCGGGGGGGGGTTGGGCAGTTGGAGAACTGCGTTTGTAACTTGAAAATAACCTGTTTTAGTTTTAGACCTGCAGGACAAGGACATTGCTGTGTAGTGAGGTCATTTTTCGTTCACTTCTGACAGACTGTGTGTGTGTGTGTGTGTGTGTGTGTGTGTGTGTGTGTGTGTGTGTGGTCTAGCATTACTATACTTGTGGGGACCTAAATCGGTTTACATAGTCACGTGTGGGGACTGGCTTCCCTTATGGGGACAAATTGGAGGTTCCCATAAGGGGAATCATTAGTTTTAGGGTGAATACTTGGTTAGGTTTAGGATTAGGGTTAGGCATGTGTTGGTTATGGTTAAGGTTAGGATAAGTCTCCAGGAAATGCATGTAAGTCAATGTAATGTCCCCTGAAATGATGTATACATGATATGTGTGTGTGTGTGTGTGTGTGTGTGTGTGTGTGTGTGTGTGTGTGTGTGTGTGTGTGTGTGTGTGTGTGTGTGTGTGTGTGGGTAGGTTACCACACAGAGACACGATCGTTTCTGGAGATGTCTGCAGGGTATATTTGAGGTCCTGCCTGACTTGTGTTTCCATTTCTCTGATTCAGCAGGCTCGATCAGGGAGAACAGGGCGTGCCCCCCCAGGTGTACCTGTGTGTGTGTGGTGTGTGTGTGTGTGTGTGTGTGTGTGTGTGTGTGTGTGTGTGTGTGTGTGTCTGTGTGGTGTTGGTCATTGTTCATGCTCAGCTCTTCAGTGGTCAGTCACCAACGTGTGCGATGGTAAGAATGGAGCACTTGGAACCAGTACTCAATGGAAATATCTTCCCCTTTGGCAAGAGCTCTGTAAAAAGAGGCCAGAAGGGAAGGTGTAGGACAGGGGTGCCCAACCAGTCGATCGCGAGATGTGTCTAAAAATAGAACAACAATATTCTGTTTTATCGTTAATGTCCTATAACATAATCTTCCTGTGCCAGAATAATGCACTTGAACGCACCAAAGCTTTGTGATTGGCCGGCGTGACCCCTTGTGTGGGGGCGTGGCTGGTGGGCAGTGGACACTATTTTGCTGACGTTGTCCGTGTCAACAGGAGTGACAGTCCGCACACACAAGACCGCAATTATGGCAGAAGCAAAAAAGCCCAAAATATATAATTTTCGCTCCGAGTGGGAGGATGATTATTTTTGTATCTGTTCCAATTCAAAGTCCATCTGTCTCATCTGCAATGCGAGCGTGGCTTTATCGAAGAAGGGTAATTTAGGAGCGGCATTTCAAAACAGTGCACAAACGCTACGAGACGGAATTCCCTCCTGATTCTGCCCTACGCTCTTCTGTCCGTTGCGTGCACATGTAACAGAGTTAAACATGTGAATACATAATTATAAGTTTGTGAATGTTTAATTCTTAATAAGTTGTGATTTTTAAGAGATGAGATTGTTTCATTTAATATTTTAAGTTTTGTTTCCCGTGTGAACACCGTCCCGTTGCACGTCTTTGTTTACTTCCGGTATGTATTTTCCACCCTCCGCGGACTGGTCATCTGGAGAATCTGGAGAATCACAGAACAGCCGGTCGTTAAGGGCCGGCTCGATTCGCTGGCGGGAAGAAGCACTTTGTTCAGATTTAAATCACGTCACCTGCTGACGCTCGTTACGCTCCGTGAATCATCTTCCTGCAAGAGCTGCTCAAAGTCAAGTTGAGTCCTGTCTACGTCAACATCTTTCTACATTTTAGGCTAATGCCCAAGCCAACCCAGTGAGATGTTCATACTGTGAGCGATACTAGAGCCTCATCCCAATACCCCTCCTCGACTCCTCTCTGCCCCTCCTCCGGGACTTGACCCGGAAATCGATCAACACACGCCATTTTGAAGGACGTCCCAATAGCTGAAATGCACACGGAGGAGTCGAGGAGGGGTGAGGGAGGAGGGGTGCGGGAGGAGACGAAAGGGAGGATACATGCGAGCAGACTACGCGGAAGTGTTTTCACTACTCGCGTATAAAAGCCCCGCCCCCACCTTCACAGCTGGTCCATTTCAACAGAGGAAAACCGACAACTGGAAGATGAGTGGAAAAGCGTCACATAAATGTATAAGTGCTCACAGCTCCGTGGGAATTATTATGTGCAATTCATTTCTAAAAGGCTTTCACATTACTATAATTATATTTTTATTTAAATGTAGGCTACATTTTACACCAAAACGGAACACAAAAGCAGGACCAACCATCATTGAATTCCTTGACTAACAAGAGAAAGATTCATTCATTTAAATTAGGGCTGTCAGTCGATTAAAATATTTAATCGCGATTAATCGCAAATGAATCGCACATTTTTGATCTGTTCTAAATGTACCTTAGAGGAATATTTTTCAAGTTTTTAATACTCTTATCAACATATGAGTGGACAAATACGCTTTATGCTAATGTTTATTATCATTTGAACAATGACAAATATTCTCATGAATATTAAACACAACAACCTCTGAACATTACAAATATTCGCCTCAATTCAATCTGGAACCTCTCTAATACAATAATACAATACAAATGGTGTGTGTGTGTGTGTGTGTGTGTGTGTGTGTGTGTGTGTGTGTGTGTGTGTGTGTGTGTGTGTGTGTGTGTGGTGGTGTGTGTGTGGGTGTGTGTGTGTGTGTGTGTGTGTGTGTGGTGTGTGTGTGTGTGTGTGTGTGTGTGTGTGTGTGTGGGTGTGTGTGTGTGTGTGTGTGTGGTGTGTGTGTGTGTGTGTGTGTGTGTGTGTGCGTGTGTGTGTTGTGTGTGTGTGTGTGTGTGTTGTGTGTGTGTGTGTGTGTGTGTGTGTGTGATGGATCGTTGGAGCTATGTGCAACTCAAGGCATATGCTCGAACGGGAGCTGCCTGGACGCTGCAATCATGTTGCACTATCCGTGCTGAGTGTGCTGACTTCTCGTACAATGTCCCACTGTCTGGCTTCCTGCATAAAGTCAAGTGCTCGGCGCAGTTGTGGCGAAATGTCGCTCCTCTGTTTTCATTTAAACAGCTCCTTATATCAGTTAGCGCAGCTAGCTAGCACCAGATGCTAACAACAACAATGCACGTAAGGTCTCTCTCTCGCTCGGGCCACACATACACACACCCTCCCGGTCCTCCCAACAGCCAGTCGGTACCTGCCGGTGAGCGTGGAAGTGTGGTCTGCCACAAGCTGGCGGCAGGAGCGGGGCTGTCAGCATCAGCTTGTAGATGGTATTTTAAACTCGATGCGCTCTGAAACTACGGGGCGGCCGCGGAAAAAAAATACACATGCGTTAATCGCGTTAAAATAATTAGTGGCGTTATTTGTTTTTTGCGTTAACGCGTTATTAACGCGTTAACTTGACAGCCCTTATTTAAATACATATTTAACCAGAAATGAGCCGGTTCTAAAGGGTTCTTCAGTTAAGCCCGATGAGAGGGGATACAGCTGTGCACATGTCATCATTAACAGACGTCGTTTAAGAGTGACGTTTGAGTGAACGAGGACATCCCAATTAATACCTGAGGACTCCTCTGTCCTCGCGTCACCTCCTCGTGTCTCTCGCTCGCATCTTACGGAGGCGGAGCTAAGACGCAAGGAAGGGAAGCGAGTGAGGGAAAGGAGGAGTCGAGGAGGGGTATTGGGATGAGGCTAGGGTCTTCCTGTCATAGTTGTATTGTTCCCGGATCTTCCCACCCGAAAACTTAGCATTGAGATCTTTGCTGTCAAGTCTCAGATCAGGTCTGACGTCTGACTGTGATCTCTAAAGTCTACATGGCAAACCAATCTGCAGTTTATCAAGAGCTACTGCTTTTGACAGAATCAAAGATTCAGTTAGTTGATGATGTCGTTTCCACAGTTATAATCTAATCTATCATGGACAGAGTTCAGACGATGTTAGACCACAGGCACTTTGTCTGAAGCACACTCCCATCAAGTATGAGTCTACATTCTACAAAATCCTTGAAGCAAGCTGACGGGTGTGCATTAGTTGAAATGATGTCACCGGGGGTGTGTATTTCCAACAAACTATTTCTTAGGGAGTTGATTTCCCGCTGGGACAAACTGCACACACTCCCTCTTCTGTGTTAATATACATCTTAAAGCGGTTTTATTTTAAAAGAACAGAAGTGATACTTTTGGTTCCCTAAAAATATAAAAATATTTAAACAATATTTGTTTCTGTTTTTTTCAGTGAATGGGATTCTGCTGAGAGACATTTCAAACCAACAAAGGCTCTTAAATGATGGGTGTGACTGTTATTGTTGCGTTAGTGTTGTGACAGCTTGAGTGTGTGCTTGTTTTTGCATGTGTGTATGCTTACACATAAACTGTGTCAACTGTCATGTGGAAACCAGGGATTGTTACAGGTACTCTACAGAGCGATATCTTACATCATATTGGCAAAGTCAAACAAAGAAAAAAAACACAATTTCAACAAAGAACCTGAAACCCCCGTGAGGAGGAGGAGCAGCTGCACGCAGAGCCCCCCCCCACACACACCCAGCTCAGAGTCATCACACACAGTCCAGATGAAGATTTAAAGTACTCACGGCACTTTCTGTCTGCAGAAAAAGAGTAGTGCGATGGCGGCACCGAGAGCGATCAGGACTGCGATCACGATCCCAGCGATGGCTCCGTCTGAGAGACCTTCATCCAGCGCTCCTTCCTCTGAAACCACAACCACATTATGAACCCCTGCCCAAAGGGATCCTCTGGAGTACATTCACTCTAGAATTAGCTTGTTAGCTGTTTGTATGTTACAGAAGTTGGGAAGTACACAAATATTTTAGGATTTCTATGAAACTGTGGAGAGTATGGCAGGCCTCCACAGTCTAGACCAGGGGTCGGCAACCTTTTTGATATGAAGTGCCATTTAAAAAAAAAATTGGTATCAGCGTGCCAACGATCGAGAATTATCAACGGGGGGGGGGGCGGTTGTGGAGCTTGACGCTCGTGAACTATCAGCAGGAGGGCGGGCGAAGCCTCGCTGCGGGGAAGCAGTGTGTGGACCTGTCAGCGCAACGTATGGTGCCGAATTTAACAAGCACATTTAAATAATTGAGAGAGAGAGAGAGAGAGAGAGAGAGAGAGAGAGAGAGAGAGGGGTGTGGCTTGTGCATGTGAGTGTGTGGATGGTAGAGCGACAGTGAGGGAGCGTGTGTATGTTTCTGGAAGTGAAACGAGGAAGCAGAAAAACAGAGGTCTGTGATGTATTTTGTGAAACAGAAGAACAGCTAAATAAATGCAACGGCCTCCCAAGAAGAGCTCGCCTCTCTCCAGTCATTGAAGCTAAAGTGGGTTATTGAACCTGAAGCTTGTTGCTTCTGCCCTCCTCCACTACGGACTGGGAGCCGACAGGGAAGTTCAACACACAGATGGCCAGTCCGCCCCTTTGTAGCATATTATTTCGATGAGAGATGAGCAGATCGCCACTGGGCTTTCAACTAAAGACACAGCCACGCAAAAACTGCGGCATGTATACAGCTCCTTATGGGTACTGCAATTAGTGAAGTGCTTTCCTCCGTGGTGAAAACATCAGCACCACGGAGGAAAGCGGCAGAAAGTCACCTGGAGTTAAAGAGAGCGGGGCTGCGCTGCGTGCATGGCTTCCTTCTGCAGGTAACGGGAAGACGCGCTCTGGCGGCGGTCTCGTTCATGATCCGAAAATACAATTTAAATATTTTGCACACTTATTCCTAGTGTGCCACTGGTTACGGTGCCGTGTGCCAATGCTGGCACGCGTGCCAGGGGTTGCCGACCCCTGGTCTAGATAATTAGTAACGTTTACCTATTGCAAAACACTAGAATGAACGTCATTGTTGGTTTTACAGGTTTCCTGTCATGAACTAAAGCAGGGGTGGGGAACCTCTGGCCTCCGGGCCGTATACGGTCCGCGAGACCATTTGATACGGCCCTCGAGGTAATTTATAAACACACGCAAAAAAAAAGAAGAATTAAACAAGCGAGGGCCTGTTTTTCCTGGCCAAGGTCAGGGTCCTTGAACACAACACAAGCCTAACGTGTCATCACGTGGTATATGTCTCGTCTGACAGGGGTGCAGTTCTGACGGAGAGCAACGGAACGTCGCTCCGGCACTTCACAAATTGCAGTACCCATAAGGAGCCGTACACATGCCGCAGTTTCTGCGTGGCTGTGTCTTTAGTTGAAAGCGCAGTGGCGATCTGCTCATCTGTCATACTGATCATACAATAAAGCCATCGAAAATAATATGCTACATTCATTTCATTTAATTTCAAACCTTTATTTAACCAGGTAGGTCCCATTCAGTGCTTGATCACAAATATTGCTATGTGGCGTGTCTGCCAAACCACCCACTTGATCAACACGGATCAACACATATGTCATATGCAGGGTCATCAGAATATACCGGCCCCACTCTGTGAACTACCTTTGAGTCAGTAGATCTGATGAGAAGTTATATATGTTTGAATCATTCTGGGATAGTGCACATCTAACCCATTCTTGCAGAAGTTGCCGTAAAGGAAGTTGCATTGGTAATACATTTTGTGCATCCTTGTGTGCAGCTGATATGAGTTTCTCTGAAGATCGGGTGTGTGTTCCTGCAGGCTCTCACCTTTGACGGACAGGGTGTGTGTGTGGGTGCTGGTCTTGCCAGTGACGGGGTTGTGCGCCTCACACATGTACATTCCAGTGTTTTTGTAGCGAGCCGCCTCGATCTGATACTGGGCCGTTTTGACGTCGGTCTTGGTGCCGTTGAACTTCCAGGTGAAGTTGGCGGGGGGCACGGAGGCGGCGGAGCAGGTGAGCACCACCTTGGTGTCCACCTCCACAGCAGGATCCCCGATCACCTGGGCCGCCTCAGGGCCGTCTGCAGGAGAACACACACACAGGGTCTATCAGCTGCATTTCTCACAACTATTCTTCAAATGAACAATGTTCACCCGTACACATGTTTGTTTTGATTTTGTTCTAACCTTTCTTATTGTACATGTGTTACTTCCTGTGTTCATACTGACTCCCATTCAGAGCATCTCCAGGACACAGGGCGACATCATATTTCCAAGTTCCAAGTTCACACTAATGGCGCGTTTCCACTGCAGCGGGGTAGCCCCGTTTAAGCGTCCCTAAGCGTCCTCGCTCTGGCCTCGGGGCTGCCTCGCTGGCCGGCCCAGGCCGTGGCGCATTTCCATTACAGTTTAGGACCTGGGGTAGCAACGCAGTGTAGGCGGGGCGATCGGCTTTGTTTTTGTTCACATTTCGAGTTGTTCCGTCGAGCTCCCGCTGGATTTGATCATCCCCAATGAGATGTAGGAACGTCGTCACCTCCTCGGTCGACCACGGTGTGCTTTTCTTATTAGACGTAGCCATTTTTGTAGCTCATCCGTTTACAAAATGCTGTGTATAAAAATGCTGCAAGCTTGCTTCTAGATATATATGCGACGCTAGGGATGATCTCGCGCGCGATCTTGTGACGATTCTCTCTGACCAATCAGCAGTCGAGAGTGTTGACGTCACTAGTTCAGCCCTGGCCCTGGTCTGAGGGAACCACGATTTTATGAGGCCGGAAAAAGAGGGAAAAAGTACCCGCTGGCCGGTACTAGGCTATATGGAAACGCCACCAAAAACCGGCCTGGCCGCTTGAGGACGGTTAAGGACGCTTAAACGGGGCTACCCGCTGCAGTGGAAACGCGCCATAACGGACACCACATAGAAAGTAACTAAGTACATTAACCCAAGTAGTGTACATAAGTACACATTTAAGGTACTTGTTCTTTACTCAAGTATTTCATTATAGACTTATTTATACTTCTACTCTGCTACATTTTGGAATCAACATGTTTACTCTTTACTCCAATACAATTATTTTACATATTTATTTACTAGTTACTTTATAAGTTCTGATTTTGACACACAATACTTAGGACGAATGTTTCAAATATGTTATATTAAAATATAATTGTTTGGTGAAGTTACTAAAACCATGAGTGGGTTAACAGAAAATGAATGTATTATTTATTTTGCTGAGAGGTTTATGTTCAAAGATATTACACAGTTCCAGCTTACATGTGAAGATGTGCTGCTTTTGCTTTAAAGGTCACATGTCATGGCCATTTCCACTGATCATAATTCCATTGTTGAGGTCTACTAGAATAGATTTACATTGTGCAATTTTCCAAAGTCACATTGTTTCGCATACAGCATCTCTGTAAACTACGTGTATTCACTCTCTCCACTAAACGGCCCGTTGCAGCTCTTGCCCCCCCTCCCTGTGAGCCCAGTGTGCTCCGATTGGTCGGGACCAGTCGGGACGTTGTGAATCGCGCTGAGCTCCGTGGAGGTGTGATTTCCTTGTTTAGCGATACACAGCGAAACACAGCGAAACACAGCCAAACTCACCCTGAGCACACACAAAGTCACAGCCAAAGTAAAAACAATAAGTGTGGCTTGATATTGAGTAAGAAAAGGGTTGATAAACGCTGTGAGAATGGGTCTGCAGAGAGAACGGGTCTGCAGAGAGAATGGGTCTGCAGAGAGAATGGGTCTGCAGTGAGAATGGGTCTGCAGAGAGAATGGGTCTGCAGAGAGAATGGGTCTGCAGAGAGAATGGGTCTGCAGAGAGAACGGGTCTGCAGAGAGAATGGGTCTGCAGAGAGAATGGGTCTGCAGTGAGAATGGGTCTGCAGAGAGAACGGGTCTGCAGAGAGAATGGGTCTGCAGAGAGAATGGGTCTGCAGAGAGAATGGGTCTGCAGAGAGAATGGGTCTGCAGAGAGAACGGGTCTGCAGAGAGAATGGGTCTGCAGAGAGAATGGGTCTGCAGAGAGAACGGGTCTGCAGAGAGAATTTCGCCGCGATCCCAACTGTCTGTTATCAGCCTGCAGCCAGGGAGGAGAGATCAGCAGAGCTGCCTGCACTGAGTGTGTGAGGAAGTCCGTGGATTGGTCAATTTGGACCAATCAGCGGGGGCTTAACGTAACGGCTCCGCGGACGTAACGTAACGGCTCCACGGATTGGTCCATTTCGTTCCGGGGACGACATGACATCATGATATCCCCGGAAGAATCAAATGGACAGTGACGTATTTCCAACACGGCGTTTTGGGGAGGTATTTTCTGTGTTAGAGTTTTACTCGCTACATGGTGTACTTTGAGGGTTTTGACTCTGCACACCATTTACATGCATAAAAACCTTCATAACAACAAGGGGACGGGTAATAACCGGAAAAGCATGACATGTCACCTTTAAAATATATATTTTTGCAATGAGTACTTTTACTTTTACTCCTAATATGTATTTTTACAATGTGGTATTAGTACTTTTATTCAAGTAAAGAATCTTAATACTTTTCCCGACACTGGTTTATTGCTAATGCTTTAGGAATAGATCCCTTCCATGATAAATAAACCAGGGCTATAAACTGCACGCCCCTGTAACTCCTCAGACTCACAGTTGACCACCATCCTGTAGGAGGCGCTGTCGGTGTTGATGGGGTTGGTGAGCATGCAGGTGAACTCTCCGTTGTCCTCCTTCTGCAGCGGGCTGATGAGCATGGAGCTCATGTCAGGGGAGAAGGACCGGCGGGCCACGGAGCTGACGGCCACTCCGTCCTGCTCCCAGCGGACGCTCTGCACCTGGCCGGACGCCGCCTTGCAGCTCAGGTTGGCCGAGCTGTTCCCGGCGAGGAGCACGGACGTCGGACCGCTCACCTCCGCTCCTGAGATGACCTCTGAACCAAGGAGACAGGGATATTTTAGTTCTCTTTTTATGGTTTTTCTATTCAGCTATATTGAACCAAAAATAATCTCACTTTGCTCTTGTTTTACCCTTTACCTACTACTTTGATGACCTTTGATTTCACATGAAAACAAATCAAACCAAATTGGTTTACAAAGAAAATTGAAAATTGAAAAAGAGAGAGAAATAAAAAGATGTGATATTTAGAAGTCCAACTTTCAAAGCATACTCCAGTATGAAAGAACCCCAAACACGCTGAACGTTAGTCCTTACTATAGGTCAAGCTCAAACAACACCGGATCCTACATTTCCCATAATGCAACCAGATGGGGTCTTTAATGATCCTTTCTGTTTGGTAAATAATAGATGATAGAATAATAGACTGATGGAGCCGAACCATTAACAGTAACCTGATCTCCATTTCAATCCACTGAGACGCCACCTGAGCAGCGGAGTAGAACTCTTTTTTCATGTTGTAGAACTATCCTCAAACACACACACACACACACACACACACACACACACACACACACACACACACACACACACACACACACACACACACACACACACACACACACACACACACACACAACACACACAGGTAATGGGTCACTACAAGCAGTTAGTGTGACAGTGTCACGGTCAGGAAAGGTTTCAGTCTGCTTTATTTCGACTCTCTTGGTTGAGCTCAA